AGGATACTACAAAATCTCCATTCCCTCCCCACTCTGGGCCCAGCCAGAGGTGGTATTTGCCGGTTCTCCAAACTACTCAAAATTTCCGCTCCAGAATCTGTCAGAACCAGCTGGATTTTACCTCGATTTGCCCCAAAGTTTGACGAGGAAAGTTCTCTGTAACTCTTAAGGGTGAAGGGTGAAGGAGTCTCCAAAGAGGCATGGATGATATTCAGTAAATTCTAAATTCTTTGAGTGTCACTGAAACGGCAGCCTTAGAGACTGGTGGCATCCTTGAAGTCCTCTGCATTCATGGAAACCCCCATAGAAGCCTCCAAACCAGGAGTAAACCTAGTGTTTCTCTTAAACTTGCTTGTGGGAATACCTCCTCAGCTTCCAGACACGGTCATTTTAGGAAATGCTATGGATGAATTAAACAATGCATCCTTGTTTGTTCGGGTTTTTTTGGCATGGAATTGTTTTCAGTCAGCATGCTAGCTGAGAATGATGGGCTTCTGAGAGAAGGTGGCCTCCAGTCAAATGGATTGAGGTGACCTGCTTTTTTCACAGGGTCTTGGAGGTGGCCTCTGGACAGGAAGGCAGGGAACCAGGAGTAGAAGGGAACCAATCCATTTGGGTTGGCCATGGAACGAATTCCTTGGTTGCTTCAGATCTTCAGCTAGAGGACAGGCCTTGTTATCCCACAAGCTGCCAGCCCAACAACCCCAAATTGGTCAGCCATGTTAAATGTTTCTGGCATAACGGGCAAACCAGCACCCAGAGCATGGATTGGCAATCTGTGGCTCTGGAGCCGCATGTGGCTCTTTTATCCCTCTGCTGCGGCTCCCTGTCGCTGGTCAGCTCCACAACTGATAAGGCTTTCAGTTAGGACAGGCAGAGGAAAAAGGACACTGAGCTAGGAGGAGACTTTATGGTGGGAAACCGGACTTCTGGTTGGCTCCAGAATTAAATGGGGTGGGGCGGCTTCTGTTTAGGACCTTTGTGGCTCTTTGAGTGTTTAAGGTTACCAACCCCTGACCCAGAAGATGCTGTGACCATCTCACATCTCTAGATCAAGCTGGAATCTTGTTGTGTTTTTTCTCCAGGTTCCAGGCCACTGGGTTTTTTTTGGGAGGGGGCCTCTTCTGTGTCCCCCTTCCCTTTCCAAAGCAGCTTATATGTTCTTCTTCTGTCTTTGGCTGTCCGAGGTTTAGTGAGTTCGATTAGCCGTGTGCTCCGAATCAAGTTCGGGAAGAAAGAGGAAGAGGAGGACCACGAGAAGAAGGAGGAAGACTGCGAGAAGAAGGCCAAGCACAGCATCGATGGTATCTTGGGTGACAAAGGTAGGCGTTGCTTAAAAAGAACCCCCGATCTCTAGATGACCCCCCCTTTTCTATCTCTCCCTGCACTGTTTCTTCTTGAGTAAATGAAATTCACATCACTTGGCTTTCTACCCTGTTTCCCCCCCAAAATAAGACCTCCCCAGATAATAAGCCCAACCGGGCTTTTGAGCGTGTGCGCTAAAATAAGCCCTCCCCTAAAAATAAGCCCTCCCTGAAAATATTGCATCACAGCAGCAGCCACGAGGTTACCACGCTCGGAGTCTCCTGTNAAAAAAAAACAGTAATCTTAACTGACAGCCAAAAATATGAGCCCAACCATTTCAAAGCCACTTGTGGTCTCCATCCCGCTGATGTATTTATTAGGATATGAGGTTTTGCAAAGGCAGGAAGAGTTTTCTGTGATGCTCCAAGCTTTTACAGTTCTCTGTTGTTGTTGTTTTTTTCAATTTTCTCTAGGCCTTGATAGCCCTTCTGGGGTCTTCATTCGCCCCCCCCCTCCCCAGTTTGTTTCATGGTTCTGCTTTTTATCCTGAAAATAATCACTTGCAGGCAGGGGGAATCCTGTAGCAAGCAGCCTGTTGGGGGGGAAAAAAAAAGATTCACTTTGCAGAGTTTGGGCTGCCGTGCGTGTGCCTGCAGTGCATTTCAAACCAGGCACTCCTGTTGCTGCCATCAATTCCTTCGTTAGCGTTGCAGCTGGACTATTAATTGTGGGACATAAATAAATAAATAAGCGCGCCCTCCTGAGCCTCTTGACACAGGAAGAGATAATATTGTAATGTCCAAGAAAGCACCGTGTTGACTCAGAAGGAATTAGCCTTCAACACGGCAGGGGATTAAACAGCAATGTGTAAGGGCGTTTATAGAAGTGCGGGCGTGTATTAATCCATCACAATTAAATGGGCAGCCGCAGCACTTAGGCCTGGCGTGAATTTCAGTGGGTTTTGTTTACCTATCTAGTTTGGTTTCCGGCTCGTCCTTTGAGTTGTTTGCGTCTGGAGCAATAATAGTTTTTTCTCGTGGGCATGTAGGTTTGAAGGATCTGGAGTTGTGTGACTGCAGCGTGACTCTGGGTGGCTTACAATTCCATGGGGCAACTCAGTTTAAAATAAAACAAAACAGAATTACAAAACAGAGAAGTCAAAATATGTTCCCATTGGTTGCCCACCTCCCTCCCTCCAGGGATTCTGAGTTCAGCATTTGGCCCAGGGGTGAATTTTTTTTACTATTGGTTCTGTGGGTGTAACTTGGAGGGCATGGCTTGGTGGGCGTGGCAGGGGAAGGATATTGCAAAATCTCTATTCCCTCCCCACTCCTGGGAGAAGGATACTGCAAACTCCCCATTCCCTCCCCACTCCTGGGAGGAGGATACTACAAAATCTCCATTCCCTCCCCACTCTGGGCCCAGCCAGAGGTGGTATTTGCCGGTTCTCCAAACTACTCAAAATTTCCGCTCCAGAATCTGTCAGAACCAGCTGGATTTTACCTCGATTTGCCCCAAAGTTTGACGAGGAAAGTTCTCTGTAACTCTTAAGGGTGAAGGGTGAAGGAGTCTCCAAAGAGGCATGGATGATATTCAGTAAATTCTAAATTCTTTGAGTGTCACTGAAACGGCAGCCTTAGAGACTGGTGGCATCCTTGAAGTCCTCTGCATTCATGGAAACCCCCATAGAAGCCTCCAAACCAGGAGTAAACCTAGTGTTTCTCTTAAACTTGCTTGTGGGAATACCTCCTCAGCTTCCAGACACGGTCATTTTAGGAAATGCTATGGATGAATTAAACAATGCATCCTTGTTTGTTCGGGTTTTTTTGGCATGGAATTGTTTTCAGTCAGCATGCTAGCTGAGAATGATGGGCTTCTGAGAGAAGGTGGCCTCCAGTCAAATGGATTGAGGTGACCTGCTTTTTTCACAGGGTCTTGGAGGTGGCCTCTGGACAGGAAGGCAGGGAACCAGGAGTAGAAGGGAACCAATCCATTTGGGTTGGCCATGGAACGAATTCCTTGGTTGCTTCAGATCTTCAGCTAGAGGACAGGCCTTGTTATCCCACAAGCTGCCAGCCCAACAACCCCAAATTGGTCAGCCATGTTAAATGTTTCTGGCATAACGGGCAAACCAGCACCCAGAGCATGGATTGGCAATCTGTGGCTCTGGAGCCGCATGTGGCTCTTTTATCCCTCTGCTGCGGCTCCCTGTCGCTGGTCAGCTCCACAACTGATAAGGCTTTCAGTTAGGACAGGCAGAGGAAAAAGGACACTGAGCTAGGAGGAGACTTTATGGTGGGAAACCGGACTTCTGGTTGGCTCCAGAATTAAATGGGGTGGGGCGGCTTCTGTTTAGGACCTTTGTGGCTCTTTGAGTGTTTAAGGTTACCAACCCCTGACCCAGAAGATGCTGTGACCATCTCACATCTCTAGATCAAGCTGGAATCTTGTTGTGTTTTTTCTCCAGGTTCCAGGCCACTGGGTTTTTTTTGGGAGGGGGCCTCTTCTGTGTCCCCCTTCCCTTTCCAAAGCAGCTTATATGTTCTTCTTCTGTCTTTGGCTGTCCGAGGTTTAGTGAGTTCGATTAGCCGTGTGCTCCGAATCAAGTTCGGGAAGAAAGAGGAAGAGGAGGACCACGAGAAGAAGGAGGAAGACTGCGAGAAGAAGGCCAAGCACAGCATCGATGGTATCTTGGGTGACAAAGGTAGGCGTTGCTTAAAAAGAACCCCCGATCTCTAGATGACCCCCCCTTTTCTATCTCTCCCTGCACTGTTTCTTCTTGAGTAAATGAAATTCACATCACTTGGCTTTCTACCCTGTTTCCCCCCCAAAATAAGACCTCCCCAGATAATAAGCCCAACCGGGCTTTTGAGCGTGTGCGCTAAAATAAGCCCTCCCCTAAAAATAAGCCCTCCCTGAAAATATTGCATCACAGCAGCAGCCACGAGGTTACCACGCTCGGAGTCTCCTGTACCTCAAAAATAATAAGACCTCCCCTAAAATAAGGCCAAATGCTTATTTTGGGGCAGGGGGGAGAAAATAAGACCGTCTTATTTTCGGGGAAACACGGTATATATGCCGCTCTACTTTTCACTCTATTGATTTATTTTCTTCCCAATGATCGGTGGAAATTTTATAACTGTCCGTTTCCTGGATACATTCCCGATTTTCCTTGCAAAGAAATCTGCACTTTTACAAACTTAAGTGTTCCCCCCCCCCCTGCTTATTTGGCAATGGATGCCTCAAGACAAATGGGCAACCGTTTGTCTGAAATGGTCTAGGGTTTCCTGCTTGAGCAGGGGGGGGTGGACTAGAAGACCTCCAAGGTCCCTTCCAACTGTCTTGTTTTGTATTCTATTCAGTTTGCTATTAGTCTACATTAAATTCTCTTGAGTTATGTAGATTTCTCCTTTTACTGGATCCTCTGAGAGGCTAGTTTTCTGCAATTGGGGAAGAGGCAGTTTTCACACAAAGAAACCAATGCTTTATGTCTTTGTAGCGATGTTGAAGTTGTTGTTTTGTTGTGGCAAAAATAAGTATACTTGTTTCCAAGTGTTATTTCACCCTGGTGGCTGGTTGAACTTCATTTAAACCAGATAGGAATTGTTGAGTCTCTGCTCCAAGCAGCTTACAAATTCACGAAAGAGAAATCTGCGTAAAACGATAAAAAGGAATAATTATGTTTATCTCAGGTATGCATAGGGGTGTGTTTGATTTCAATTTGAATGCGCAGTTTGAAAAATGTTATATATTAGCCCCCCCCTTTTTTTTTTGAGGGAATGAGTTGTTTGCTTTAATCTATGAAGACATTCTCAGACAGGTGACATTTAAGCTAGAATAAGACCTTTGAGAAAGTAATAAAATCTTGGCTGTCTTTTTCTGACACCTTTAAGGAATTAACTAAATATTAACCAAATTGGAACTATGCAAAATCTTGGGTAATATCTATACAAGACTTTCCCCCAATATTTTAAAGCTCTAAGATATCAGATTTTTTAAAATAAAAAACTACAGTATATTTAAGATCAATTTACCTCTTTCTCTACCTGTTTCATATTCTAGATCATCAAGTTTAATATATTTTCCAGTTAAACAGGAAAAGCAAACCCTTAGCAGAAATTAATACATTAAAAAAAATTACTTATTTTATAATTTATTTTGCATTGGCGGTTGAGTTATTAAACACACTTTTGCTCAGCTGGGGCACTGTATAAGTTCTTGAAACATTTGGAATTTTAGAAATTTTTACATTTCCTTTCCCAGTTCTAGGCCAGAAAGCCCACAAACGGGGGGGGGGGGGTAAATTCTATTTTACACTTTAAAAACCATGTTTGAATTCATAATGATGGAGAGCCAACAAAATTAAATATGTATAATAAACTCTATAATGAACTCTCTCTTAAAGTCTTGAATGTGGGAGAGAGGAGGGTGGAGGGAGGGAGGGGGGAGAGGGAGAGAAAACACAGATCCTGAGATAAGTTTTAGATACTAACAAATGCAGGCACGATTTTTCCTATCGACGTCCACCTTAGTTTTCTTTATAAAAAAGCCCCCCAAACAATAAATCATATAAAACGATTCAAAAGACAGGATCGGAAGTACATTTGACAGGATGCTGAGAACTGCCACCGCTGAGAATTGCAACCCTCTTCAAATAAATCAAATTCCAGTCGTTTTATTTTATTTTTCAAAACCCAAATAAATCACATGTAAGTCTTTTATTTTCCAAATAAAAAAAGCAGAAAGGGAAAAAGAAAAAAAAAAGAAGGCTGGGAAATAAGGGCTTGTCCCTTCCCCACAAATTCACCCCGAGAATTGACAGATAAAATTGGGAGAGACGCAAATTGCCCCCCAGAGGAAAATCTCTGTCCGTTTTATTTATTTAATTTTTTTGGGGGGTGGGGGGAAGCTTGACTGATCTTTAAAGACAAATCTCGAACGCCTCTAATAAAAAAATAATTAAAAGGGGTGTTTATAAAATAATTCCAGCGAAGGGGGACGGAGGGACCCCCGAGAG